AAGTGACACAACTTATTTTTTTTAGCATTACCCAGGGCTGTAGCTAGGTTTTTTGTAACGAGGGGCATTATCGCGAGAGTCGAACGCACGAGCCTTGTAGGGGGGTCTGGGGGTGTCCTCCCCCCCAAAAATTTCAAATTTGGAGGCTCCGAAATGCTATTTTCAGCACTTGTCATGAGATATGTCTCCGAAAAATAGACCTCGAAGATGAAAATGGCAAACAACTGCAAATCACTATAATCAAAATAACTGAGTCCAAAGAAAACAAACCATCCACAGACTTGATTTGTCTGGCTCAACAGGTCCAGGGGAGGCAGTGTGCCGTGCGGCTCTGTTACCACGTTGAACTGACTACGGTTGATCTTTCTTTGACATACACATACGTTGAAAGCTTCTGATTGAGGGTGTTGTGGTCTCAATTATTCTTCAGCGATTCCTGCGACAAGCTTTTGCCTTTCGAACACCTCGTCTTCTTGCAGCAGACCTCTATGGTCAAGTTCAATGTATATTCAAGTTCAGTACATTGGTTATTTCGTCCATTGCCTTATTGTAATTACACTTAGGACTATGTTTAGGTGTTGACTCAAACGGGCCTAGAGTCCAACATGGGCTGGCAATAGGAGAGCACGGAATTGGAACGGGGTGGGGGGAACTCCCTATGATGGCCTTTACGGGGAGGCTCCGCCCGAAAGGGGTATCTTTTTCAGGCTTCACGTATATAAAAGGGTAGGCTTTCACTAGATGAAGTATATGAAAGGGCGAGTGCGCGTATTGCAACCTTAGCAGCATCTTTGGCGGTTCTTAAAGAAAAAAGAACTAAGTTTAAAAATTTAAGGAAAAAGTAGAAGGACTTAATTTTTCAGAAATTAATATACAGAGGAGAAATTTCACCCTTTAAGTATAAATGCTTGTAAAAGTAGAGGTGGAACCGGAGGGAGAGAGGGTGGATGGTAAAGTAGGTTAAAAATAGAGAGATGGGAGAAGCACTTTGATCGAGCACATTGTTCAAGAGCAGGGTATAAATACAAATTAAAAAGAAACAGCAATCTGGAGGCTCTTTTGAAGACTTAATGAAAACGTTATCAAAACAAGAAAAACAGAGAAATCTTGTCCAATAAACCTCTCCGGCAAAGGTGTGGACATGGTTGCTGACTGCTCAATCGTACTCTTCCGACCCTTTGGCGTCAAGTTTTTTCACGTTTCTTGCGACAGGAGGAGCAAATCGGCTATATAAAGTTGAACTGAACATTTTGATACTTTTAAGTCTCACTAATTTTTACAAAACCAGAGACATGTTTTAAACACTGTTTAAGTTAAAAAAAAATTGTTTTTATTGCAACAGGCTATTTAGTGTCTGTGCCTTGGGCAGATTGCCATTTCAGTTCCGAATACCTACCAAACCTCTACTCTCGCTAAAATGAGTTCATTCAGTCATTGACTTTGCTACGCTTAGACAAGTGACAGCTGGCTAAGTGCGACGTAATATCATTCATGCACTCTGCGACCAACACATTCCCCTCCACACCCCTACTGGGACCACACTCTGTCTTGACGATCTCGCGAAAAGAACAGCTTTTTCACAATTCTTCGGCGATTTCATTGACATAATTATATTTGAAACTGGCACCTGCTGCATTATAATTCAATTAGATTGAAACCAAAACAAGATCATCTTGGGAATACGGATGTTATACCCTAACAAAAAACTAAAAACTGAGATAATCCCTTTTGCGCGTATTAACTGAAAAAAGAAACTATTTTTCCAGTTTCATTCTTCTACCGATAAATGCTTTAAAGATCTTTGAATGAAACTGAAATTTACAGCTAATTTTCCTTTTGCAAAGCTATACATAGATTTAGATAGAAAAAGTGTGGGGCATTTTTTTTTTAACATAGTGCCGTGTACAAACATCTGATAAGCAAAAAAAAATTCCCCCAAATTTTATTGTGGTGACAAGAGGACTTACCTTGCAAGTTAACTCTTATTTTTAATTATTATCAATAACTACCATTTAAAAAAAGATGATAATATAATAAATTTGATCGATTCAACGCTATTGTTTTCTAATCGACCGCCCCTCTTTAGGAATGCGTGACAGGCCACAGTAATTGAATTATTTTAAGCCACGCAAACATATATCATGATATATTATTCAGCTGCTTCTTCCTCTTTAAACAACAACAAAAAAAACAGACCTTAAGGGGATTGAAAGTGACGGTTCGTGTTTTTCTGTGGAAAGGAGAGTTATTTTTCTCCTTAGAAATGTGAAATGTAAAGATTATGTGTCATGTCAAGTTGTTGAAACGACGCATCTAAGGCTAATTTGCATACGGAGAATAAAGTCACGTTCATCGTCGACAAGAAAAAAGCCAAGAAAAAGCGATTTCTAAGTTTTCTCCACATGTTTTCGAAAGTCCAACATTTAAAGGGTCCAATGACAGTTAGTGATAACTAGAAACGTTAAAGCTGTGGAAATAAGTCGACCAGATGCAGACCGTTACAATTCCAGCTTTGCTGTCAAAATGGCGAATTTTGGAACATTAACGGAACTTTGTACAGCACGCCAAGAAGAGTGCCCACAAATTTTATTGCATTAAGAAGTAGACTGGTCTTAGTACTTCTGTTTTATCACAGACTTGAGTCTGGGTCAGGTGCCACTTTTGCGAAATTACCGTTCAGCTCTAGTTATGCAAATTACTTTTCCCGATAAGCAAATTATAGGTCATTTTAAAAAAATCATATCTCAGCCAACTTTCCACAGAATGCAACCATTAAACCTTGAAACTATTAATAAGAGTTAAAGCATTTGTGTGTAAAATAATCAGCTTATTCGGCTTTGTAAGGTAGGTTTGCAAGAGCCCTAAAGTTTCCTTAAAATCGCACCACTTCCGACGGCAAACTGGTCAGTTTTAGGTGACCTAGAAAATCTTCTTGTAATATAGAGAAAAAATTGAGTTGGTCCAAATAAATGCGATATTTCTTCATGGGATAGGATAGTTATCTTTCACTGAAAAAATCAGGGCAATCCGTGATAGACCAAAATTTGCCTTATCGGTTCTTACGCGGACAGCCTCCTAAGTTCTTAATAGTTAAAGGATAGCTTATTGAATGGCCAAGGTGAACTGAAAATATTATTTATTTCCTTAGTCGACGATTAATCGGCTCCTGCGCGCGTGTTTGATTTCCAGCCAACAATCTGGTTTTCGTTCGCTCCACTCAACTGTTACTGCCTTGTTGGAGGCCACTAACGATTGGGCCTTCAACATTGATAAAGGCAGTGTAAATGCAGTAGTTTTCCTCGACCTAAAAAAAGCTTTCGATACCGCTGACCATACAATTCTTCTGTCTAAATTATTCGAATATGGTATCCGCGGTAACGCTTATGAATGGTTTGGGTCATACCTAGATAATCGCAATCAACAATGTTTCGTAAATGGTTCGCTCTCAAATAGTCAAATTCTCACTTGTGGCATTCCGCAAGGAACAATTCTAGGACCTTTGCTTTTTATTTTATACATAAATGATCTTCCTAATTGCCTGTCTAATTCAGTTGCACGTATGTATGCCGACGATACTCACCTGACCTTTGCCAGTAACAACATAGAAACGATCAATGATGTTATGAATCACGACCTATCCAATGTTAATACATGGCTCACTGCAAACAAATTGACTCTCAATTCATCTAAAACTGAGTTCATGTTAATTGGATCGCGGCAAAGGTTAGGTACTTACGATACTTCCCCTAAACTAATCATAGGTGGTGACATAATTAAACAAGCTTACTCGGTTAAATCTCTGGGTGTGCATATAGACGAAAACCTTTCATGGAATATGCACATTGAAAAAATAGCCAAGAAAATCGCATCGGGCATTGGAGTAATTAAACGTTGTAGGCCTTTTGTTAATCGAACCACATTGGAGTCCGTTTTCAATGCCTTAGTTCAACCGTACTTTAATTACTGCAGCGAGGTCTGGGGGCATTGTAACAAAAGTCTTTCGAATAAGCTCCAAAAGTTGCAAAACCGGGCTGCCCGTATTCTAACCTTCTCCAGTTATGACACAAGCGCTGATCCTCTTCTTGAGCAACTCAACTGGAAACGGTTGGATACTCAGCGACAAATACAAGTGGCCACCATGGTCTATAAATCTATACATGGTCTTGCGCCCGACTATCTTGGTTCTCTTTTCACTAAATATAATCCACCTTATAATTTAAGGAACTCTGAAAACAAACTAGCTGTTCCATTGCCCCGCACCAATTTCTTGAAAAATAGCTTTAGCTATAATGGTGCGGTTATCTGGAACAGCTTGTCCCCTGAATTGCGGCAAGCAAAATCACTTAAATCTTTTCGAAATGGTTGTCGCGATTTCTTTGACTGAATCGATAAAACGCACACGGCATCTATGTAAAGCAGAATTTCTTTATTTTCTCTATCTTTACTATTTAAATTTTTAGAGCATGTTTATATAGATTAAAGCAGATTGTAATTTTTTTAATATTACTATTTTATCTGATAGATTTACCGTGTTTAAATAAAAATAAAGTTCAAGTTCAAGTTGTGCCTAAAAAAAGGTATTATAAGGGGCTTTAAGATCCAAGGACACGACCGCAACGAGAGCGTCGCTTAAAAAAGGAATTTGCGTTCTTTGAGACCTACCCACTCACTTTGTCAAATGTAGGCGAACCCTCCCGGAGTTGAATGCCTAGGAACCATATCCAAGTGCAGACTAAGAGAAATAAAATTTCGTCGTTGGTTGGTAACGTACTCCATAAAACGCAAAATTAGGCATTTTCACGTTGTAGTCGTGCAAAGCGGGCAAAGAAATGTACGAAAAAAGCTAACAAAGCGTGATGCACGTGCAAAGTTGTTGTTTTGCTTATTTATTCTTGTTGCCGTACGCGTCGTTGGATCTTTAAAAAACGCGCGAAAACCGTGGGGGTCAGTGGGGGTCTAGCACGCATGACGTCACTGTTTACCCTAATATAAATTCCAAAATGGCGACCGAGGAAGTCTCCCTCAACGGTCGCGAGACAATTCCCAGTAAATCGCCCTTGCTGAAGAAGGCAGCGAGTCTTGTATTGTCAAAAGATGAGCATGTCAAAAAGAAAAGAAAGATTAGTTTCAAAGAAGAATCAAAACCGCCGCTAATTCTCGAAAGTCATCTTAGTAAAGTTCGACGTTTGAGCTCCACTGAGGAAAGTTGGAATATAACGTCGGATTCGTCTCCATCTCGCTCACCATCGCCGACCAAGACACCCAACAGCCTAAAAACAACGTTAAAAAAGATTAAGAAAGAAGGTAAACGTGCTTTTTAATGTGTGTTTAGCTCTGACAAGATAAATTCCAAGAAAATCAACGTCCCAGTTTTGCTGCAGAATTCCAGCTTTTCAGGTCGTCAGCAAAACTGTTTGCCCTTCCGACCGGCGATAAAGCTTGGTCGAAATTGTGTTAAGTTCAGAATTATGTGGATATTCAAAACTGTAAGTGAAAGCACTCGTTGAACGTTTATTTAGCCCATAAACTGCAAATATTGAGCGGAGTAAAAACGATACGATTGCGAGGTTATGTATACCACAACGTTATTTAAATCTGGATTGAAGTCAATTTTCATGGTGACCACTCGCTCTTGAAAGTTTCGATAGTACATGTAAGTAATAGGGATGGCGAGGTTATGTATACCAAACGGTTATTTAAATCGATCAAAAACTTCGTATTTACCGCTCTAGCGATCAATAAGTCTTCACGGATCTACCCTTTTGTTTGTAGCCTAAGGCATATAGTAAAATAAAATGTCGGTTGCACGTGTTTACTAACGAACACCTCATCAGTTGTTCTATCATGAGTTTTTGCTCAAAAGGTAAATAAATGTAGCTGCCTTGACAATTGAAACGTGTCTCTCAGTTTAGATTCATGTAATTTCATTGAAGAGAAAAGAAAGCTGTTGTCTTGATACAGTGGCAGTTTTATGCTGTTTTGTACAATCCTGACTTTACTAAACACACACATTCTGGAATGATTTATTAATGAAGGGTTTATTAAAGTCATTGCAGCTTCAAGGTGCTATAACTGTCTTACATGTCAATGTAAGGATTACAGGTCGTTTCACCTGCGCGTCAATTTGGCTACACTGAGGTCAATTTGCCTACATGATCTATTAAATTTGTTTCAGCGACACTAAGTTTATACAAGTAATAGTATGGTATAAATAGGAGTAAAGCTTACCGATGACTCTGGCATGTTTGAAAGAGATGCCATATTTTCTAAGATTTGCCTCAAACATGGCAAAAAAACCTTAAACCCTAGTTGCAAAATATTATTAAGTATTAAAAACTGCAAGAATTTAATACTCTGTATTTAAAGCATATTAAAATACACAAAATACTGCACACACTACCACGAGTTGCACGTATCATTCCCTCATTCCTTTTTATCTAGCGCACCCCGCAACTTCAATGGCCCATAACTTTTCAAAGTCAGGGGCCATTGGCCGAGTTGTCCCTTTTGCCTTTCCAATCCATGTGGAGCGGCTGAAAGACTTTGTTTGGTGGTATGCAGGGTTGTGCTCTAGCAGAGCCCAGTGGCCCCTGGCGCCTAACTTTTGCCCTCGGGCGACCAGAAAATCTCAGATTTTTCATACAAATCATATGCTGGGCACCCTAGATTTTACAGTTTCAGGGCACTGGGCTCCCTTCAATTTTCCTTAGAGCACAGCCTTGGTATGGATTTAGGTGAATGAACAAAGTTGATGACGGAAATCAAGCCCCTAAATATTTAATTAACTATTATTATTGTTATTGTTGTTGTTGATGATGTTAACATAATATAAGTACATATAATATATTCAGTTGCTCTAGTGCTTCAAGAAATTAAAAACACTGAACAGGTGATTATTCTTTAGTTTGAATTTTGATAATGTCACATGAAAACCAGCTATTGATTCTAATCGATTTTCAAAATTTGATCAATGACTTTTTGCTGTGGTGCAGCTTCTAAGTAAGCACAAACTGCTTACAATCTACAAAAGAGAAAGCTCTCAAAAGCCGCTTTGTCAAGATTTTTGAATGTTTTTCACATTGACTCCCAGTGATCTGTGATCATTACAGGTGTACATGTACATCTATTGCTGGTATTGCTGTGTTGTTGATCAACAACAAAACAAAGTTTGAACTTAATAACAATAAAAACAAACACATTTGTTTCTTCACAGGAAAGTCTGAATATGCTCCATCTGCTCCAGAGATAATTTCCCATAATGATTTAAAACTGAAAATCAAGAGAAACTCAGGTAAATACAACATATTATGATAACTACATTTAAATATCAGCACATGTGACATGTTTTTTCAGTTACATGCATAAGACTGTTGTTCCAGGAAGTTACTCATTACAGGTTTAACAAAAGACAGATATCCCTCATAACATGATATGCAATGTAAATGAAATAATGCAGGAGGGTGTAGCTTATCAGACTGTCAATGAAAACAGCATTTAATCAAGTTTAGGTGTCTGGTTGAAATTTTGTGAACATGACATACCAAGGAAAGTTCATGTGGTTATAAGAGTGTATGCAGTGTACAATAAAATTTTTCAGTGACTCATCTCCAGGAAACCAGACTGATGAAAATACGTCCAAAAACAAAGTACCAAAAACTAAATGTCGCTGATAAAATCTTCCTGACAGATTAGCATCTACATGTAATAATGATTTGTTTTATAGTGGAACTTACTATTCACAATAGAGCAATTTTGCAGTTTCCAGAGTGGGTTCAGTCAAGTTTTTATGCAGTCTTTGCTGTGAAAAGTGTTATACAAAACTATACACGTGTGACCGCAGCATTCTTTAATACTTGAGGAATCCGAGGTCTACTGTAAGGCTTCATGATTGGAAAAGCTGTTCATAGAAGTGATTTTGCCATAAACATCGCAAAGATGCTTGATACTCACAGTTTTTTAAACCTTTTCACAACACAAGAGTGCCATCTCTCAAGACAAGACTCTCATCATGCGAGAGAATGGTAACTTACTTTTGAGCCGTACTGTATTAAACCATATGATCTCACATCTCTTAACTGTAGTTGGTCACAATTTAATTTTGTAAAAGTTTTATGTAAGATGTCACTGTAAGAAAGTGACTGCTGAACTGTGGTGTACACTAACAAGAGAAGGTTGCAGGAACAGTACTGCTGATTTATCTAGAAAGGGAATGGCTGAGTTTAATCACTGTCAGGGTTGTCACTAAGATTTCAAGTTGCCAGGTAAATACAACAAGTAGGCTGGGAATCAAACGGCTAGGGATTTCTTTTGGTTCAATTTTTCTTCCATTTTCCAATAAAAGTAGCCGGGGGCCACTCTCTTAGTAGCCGGGGAAAATCCCCGGCGCCCAGCTCTTAATGACAACCCTGACTGTACATTGTTTCTCCTTACCATAATTAGTTTTATTGTTGGATTGTTTTTAACAGTTGATACCAACCATGAGAGCAATGGTACTAACCTTAATGGAGGAGCTGATGTGAAAAAGAAAAAAAAGAAACATAAAGATCATCATCACCATCATCATAACCATGAAGAAGAGAAAAAATTCAATGACCAGGATTATAGTATAAGACAGAATCCAAAGGAAAAGACTCGTTTATCTCACCTTATTCACAAAGAAGTTGATTCCAATGGAGGCGCATCTGTTCTCCATGTTTATTTGGATGAAATTGCAGGATTAAGGGAAGAGAAAATGCAAAAGTTTGTGAAACTTTTTTTCCGTGAAGTCTTTGCTGAAAAGAGTGAAGGTGTTGCAAAAAATGTAATGGGCATTATCCACAATGCTGCAGCTTATCTTCCAGAACTTGTACAATACTTTGGAGAGCACCACCCAAATCTGACTGTCAAAGTTTCGTCTTTGTACAAAAAGTCTGATCTTGAGACTATCAAAATGGCTGAATTTTTACAGAGAGTTCAGTCTTCTTATTCACATGGAACATACCGAGCTGGGCCTTTATTGCAGTTTAGCTTAGTCGGGACTGTCCAGGAAGAAAGCGGAGGATACTTCCCAGAATTTCTTGACTTGCTTGAACAATGTTTATTTTTAAAAGAAACAATGCCATGGGGGAGTTTTTCTACACTTCATTTAACTGATCGGAATAAAAGTAATGATGGTCCCATTCTGTGGGTTCGGCCCGGGGAGCAGGTTATTCCTACAGCTGAGTCCAAATCACCATACAAGAAGCGAAGGTACTGTACATATAAAATACTGTATGTTGTTTTTTTGAGCTGTACATCAAAAGCAGTCATGTTTTTCTAATTCAGATACATTACATGTTGGGGCAGGGGCTGCGGACTTCACCCAGTTTCTATGAAGGTGACCCCCGGCTACTTATAAAAATACTATAGAACCAAAAGAAATCACTAGCTGTTTCATTCTCTGCTTACTAGTTACACAGGGTGCAAAGTAAGTCATTTTTACTGCTTGCCATTTGGGCAAGCTAAAGCTAACATTTACTAGCCCAAATATCATTTCAATTAGCCCCAAAAACATTTTGATGAGCAGATTGATTTCACAGTTCCTCTGTAATTTGAATTCCTCAAAAAAATTCACTTGCCTGTCGGGCAAGTTAATAACAGAATTTGCTAGCCCGATAGCAAAATCCACTAGCCCTGGGCTATTGGATGCTACTTTCTTTGCACACTGTTACATTTACCTGATAACTTGAAATCTTAGTGACAGCCCTGTGATTATCTTGATTACCAGCATGCAATGATGTACTATAAATTGATATTATTTGCTTCCCAAGAATTGCTGTAAATGAACTCCAAAACCTACAGTACCTTCCCAGGGCCTCAGAACCCAGGGAAATTCTGGCTGAAGACAGAACGCGATGCCACGCGGATCATGTTGGACATGGTTTCGATAGACACACAACTGCAGCTGTGGGAATCTTAAAAGCAGTTCATGTTGGGGAAAGGTAAGCAGTCAGTAGTCAGTATTGTATCATTATTTATAGACTACATTGATGTGGTTTTTCTTCACTACCAGTACTGGTACATTTATACTGTATCTCTCACCAGCTAGTTACATCAGTAGACACCCTGTGATTGGTCAGTTTATAGAGCTTTTTCACTTGACATCATGGCAACCATATTGGTGTTTCAAAACAATGAAATGGCGGCCATTTTGAGGTGCCAAGAACTCATGTAGGAGTTGAGTTGTTTGAAAGGCACCCATTCACTTTTTTTCATGACTTGTTGCCATTTTCATTGGCCAATTCTGTTCAGGGTGACTTGTGATAAAGTTTTTGACTTGCTGCAAATTCCGTGGGCCAATAAGGTAACAGTGATAAGGCAGGACTGTGCTTCACAGGTTCAGAGCACTGGGCTCTCCTCAATTTTCCTTAGAGTACAGCCTATTAAAGGTTTTAGAACTTTTTGCTTTTTGTTTGGAAAGGTTTAGAAGGCCACAGGGACATCATAACCTTTGGTTAACGTCTTTTGGCTCTTGGTTGACTGATTGATCGATTGTACAGTGTACTTGTATGATTGAGTAGTTGTTGAAGAAATACCTTCAAACTCATTCTTTTTATTAAGAGGTATTTATGTTCTGTCAAGCTGAGCTTTATTCTGTACTTGCAGTCCTTTAAGTAACCGAGTCTGTAAAGATGTGGTGTGCTTTGATGCTGAAAACTTTAACTTACTGGTACAGAAGTTACAGCTGGATCTTCATGAACCTCCAACTCAACAAGTAAGGCACTTGTAGCAAAACAGTTTTTTTGTGTGCATCAAGCAAATGCACTCAAATTGTGTAGTACATGTAGTAGACATGACTAAGTGAATTACTGTAAACTATCCAACCTCACAGTTGTACTTATTGCATTTACCTGCCAATTTTAAATTAATCTTAGTGAAAGCGCTGGAACAGGTAACTTACTGATGTAGCCATGCCGCAATGAGCTCAGCTGGGATGAACTTAAACACATCTAGCTAATGGTCAGTGGTTTTTGACCTTAGAACAGCCAAATTGCAAGTCCGACATGTGGACCACTTGGCAAGGCTGTGCTCTAAGGAAAATTGAAGAGAGCCCAGTGCTCTGACCCTGTAAAATCCAGGGTGCCCAGCAAATGATTTGTATGAAAAATCTGAGATTTTCTAGTCACCCAACAGCAAAAGTTAGGCACCAGGGGCCACCGGGCTATGCTTGGCAACATTGCTTCAAACTTTTTAGTTTTTCTTATTCACAGGCGAAATCAACATAATTTATTGTTTGTTGGCCAGTTCTTGGATTGTGTGGTGCATGGCCTCTTTGATTTATCAGTATTCCATTTCTTTTATTTAGTGTGTTGGCTGGGTTGATGATGCCAAACTTAACCAGCTGAGAAGAGATGGTGTGAAATACTCCACCATCCGCCTGAGAGATAATGATATCTACTTCATCCCGCGTAACATTATTCATCAGTTCAGAACAGTGACGGCCTGTACTAGCATAGCGTGGCATCTGAGATACAAGAATTATTACCCAGAGGTGAAGCAACCAGAAAACTCAACTGAGCATCAAGGGACAGTCATGTAAGTGACTGACATTCTATGTTACTCTAGATGAAAGATATATAATTATCATTTTCAAACTATTTAATTTATAATGGATAATAGTAATGGATAGGTGTAGCTCAATGTAAGGTGACCTCCACTTGAATGGTGAAATTGAAATATTGACTCACACAGTCGAGGCACTTACCATTTATGTGGGTAAATCAGATATTCCACGTGAAAAATGCGTGTAAGTGATTCCTGGCATTCCATTTGAAAAGCTTTGAAGAAAACACCCTACCCTTCTTGTTCAAAAAAGGTAATCGATGCAATGAGTCTTAGACAGTGAACAAAACAAATATAAGATTGCTGCTGAGCTCACCCAGCATGGCCAATGTCTCCAACCTTGTATGGAAAAAACATCTCTTGTCACCCAGTCACGGTTGAGTTGTTTTCCATACAAAGCAGTCATAAAATATTTCCCTAAGCATTATGGGGCGCAAATTATCTTTTTCTCATAACAGAAAATTTGAGCCCTCAAATGCACAGGAGAAAGATTTAAACACAGTTTTAAAATTTCAAAATTTACAAGTATGGAAAGCCAATTGACCATGACTGGGTGGCAAGAGTTGTTATTCCCATACAGATCCTTCTAATTTCTGGTGGCAACCGCCACCAACTGCTACTTTTGAGATATACAGCTGAAAATTTACAGGTTACCTAATTTGAATATGCTCTTTTAGTTCCTGCTAACAAAATTTTCAAAAAGCAAACTGTTTTGGTGTTTACAGAAAATTGATCTCATAAGCAACTATTGCAACAGGCCTTTTTCAGACACTTTTCCTTCTCCCTAGCCCTTACATTTTCTCTGAATTTATGCCATTAATATGGACCAGCGTGCAAAGAAAGTCGTATCCAATAGCCCGGGGCTAGTGGATTTTGCTTTCGGGCTAGTGATTTTTGTTCTTAACTTGCCCGACGGGTAAGTGCTGTTTTTTTGGGAAATTCAAATTACGGAAGGATTGTTATCAATCCTGCCAACGAAAAAGGGTATTGGGGCTAGTTGAAATGACTTGTGGGCTAGTACATGCTAGCTACAGCTTGCCCGATTGGCAGGCTGTAAAACTGACTTTCTTTACACTCTGAGTCCATACTTTCTATGGCCCCCTCAGTGTCCATCCAACAGCGTTTAACTGTAATCTCATTTTATCATGTCTGGTACGATCCTTGACTGTGGCAAAAATTTGGGAGGCATCAGGAAAATAGAGACGTTTAGCAAAATTTAAGCAAAATCACAAAAAGTGTGGTTGTTGCCATCTTAAACTAAAATGGCCGCAAGTGTGCAGCATATTGTCAGGTTTCTATGTAGAACGCACTTATTGCATTGTACCACTTTACGAGTAAATACTTATACTAATGGAGGTTTTTAAAAATATAATAATAATATAATAGTGTTACCTTACATTTTACAGTTATTTATCAAGTTTATTTACTTTGATGAAGTTTTAAACAAATGTATGTAAATTTACGTTGGGCCTCTTTCAATCAGCATACAGCTTGTAGTCACTTTTTGACTGGCAGAAGTAATACACGGTGCAATACAATCAACTATCTCTTAATGATCATCTAGTAGAGCTGGTTTCTTTGGTTTTTTAAGTTTTCTTGTTTTACTCAAACAGTGACAACAACGGAAAAAGGTACCGTTCATAAGAGTTACTTTTTAATGTGTGATTATATCCTTCCAAATCTGAATGAATAACACAGTAGCAACTTACAGTAATAATTGGTTATCAAGCCTTAACAATTCGCCACTTGCACATCTCCCATATGCATCTTTTTTGTGCTCCGCCAAACCTTTGCATAAGCAGTGTCTTCAATTTCTCCTTGGACAACTGCAATACCCAGGCGAAATGAAAAACAAAGCCTAAGGATATGCAAAACTTTGGTTCACAAACGAGATGTATTATGGGAGATGTGCAAATGGAAAATGTCAAGAAACTAAAGGGCTTTACTGGTAAGCATTGCATTGTTGCTCGGTTGGCCCAGTGCCTTTTCATGGGAGGTGTTAACTTTCTGACTTTAAGGTATGTTTTGAATACAGTGTTCTTGTCAGGAGAAAGACACTCGGCTCTTAATACAAGCAGGTTTTACTAAGGTGTGTGTTTGTTTCAAAAGAAAGTGTAATCCTGCATGATCATCTGTAGAGGAAAAAAAACAAGCTTTGGCTTTGGTTACTGAGTCTGTAAGATACCTGTAAATTTGCTACTGTTAAAGGATTTAAGAGCTACCATTTTTTCAATGCTAGCTTCGAACTGCTGATTTCTTTAAGTTGGACAGAGAGCAATACAGGAAAAAATTAATCAGAGTTGTTATTGACAATGAATAGATAATAATCTAATTGTACATGTAACAGACAGCCAAACCTGTGTTAAGCGGTTACTCTTGAGGAGTGGCTTACTAACTCCTTAATACAGCTTGACCATTATAAAATACAGTTTTGACCAACCTTAGAGTTATTCAATAAAATGAAGATGATGAAAGAGCGAAATATCAATTCCAGTCAAATTGACTTCAAAGAATTTATTCCTCTTCAAAAGAAAGGAAATAAAAGACCACTAAAGGATATGCACAGTTTTTCTGGAGGGTGGGAATGGGGATACCTCGATAACACTAAACACTTCATTTTTGGGCTTTGTAACATGAAACAGTTAAATTTTAGACATTTTAACACTAACACTAAAAAAAATTCTTTGAAACAGTACATTTTTTTCTAGAAAGAATAAAAAACGGCTCTATAAAGGCCAATATTATTTTCTTTAGTATATCGAGGAGTTTTCCGCCATTTTACGACAATTCCGGATTATTTCAGATTCCCGAAGGCCACCGACGATTCCCGAAAACTGTCGAAGATTTTCGAAGACTAACGAAGACGTCCGACCGTTGCCGAAGATGCACGGAGAACCCTCCAAACACTTAACAGTATTTTCTTCGGAAACAGTAAACATTAAAAAAATTGGCCAATTTAACAGCAAACACTAAAAACTATGGGCAAGTAACACTAAACACTAAACTCCATTCAGACCCTCTTTCTGTTGCACTAGTATGGTGCCGCGTTTAATATAGGTGACGACTGTAAAAAACTCGTTGGCACATCGGAAAAGTTCACGGCGACCGCTAAATAGAGATGATCATTTAATATAGGTCAGTTTTAAAGTAATTAAGTGAAATGATTTTTTGGACTTCGGTAAGCGACCGCTTAATAGAGGTCCACTTAATACAGGTTTGACTGTAAAAGCTAAAAAGTTTGTTGTAATGTCCTTGATTCTTTATGATCCTGATAAGTAAGAGTCAGAGCACCGTATAAATATGTAGTCAGTTGTACTCAAGATCTTTGTTGCAAATTGTGAACTATAATATATTATTGGTTATTGTTGTTTTGTAGAGACAGATAATTATTGTTCCATTGATTTCGCCTGTATTTGAATATTGTTCACAAATTTTTTTGAAGAGCTGGGTTCATTAACAACTTTTCTTGTTTCTTGTTTTAACCTGCTGTAAAGCCTAACGTGAACGTGGATATTCTCTGCACTATTTTTCATACATTTGCTACACGTTGCTATGGTACACATGCGGAGAGTTTGTTTATTTATAATCAAAGTTTTACTGGTGTTGTTGGATGCTGATCAGCTTTACGGCTCATTACGATTGATCAAAAGTACTATTTCTGCTTATTTTCGAAAGTATATTTTGTCCTTTTTGGAGTTGAAGCACAGGCACTTCTGTTCCTTTAAACATACATTAACAAGGTTAAGTCATCAATTGAAAAAGTAAAATTCTCGTGGTGCACAAAAACACAACTTTTAGACAATCTACATCCGGATTATTAAACTGAATCCCTGAAATTGTATCTGGTTATGTGGTTTCAGATTAAGCGATCCGTTTTGAGAACAGGGTCCACATAACACATGATCACGTGATTCGCCCCACAATTGGCGGATGAACCCTGGCCCTCTGTCTATCTGTCATATAACACTACATGCACTCTTAAAGGGGCTATGTTACGAGGAAAGTGCTGTTCTAGGTCAATTCTGAAATGTCATTAATTAGTATAGGTAATAGCATGATTTGTAGTGATATTTGGCATAAATACCACGAGTGATATTTCGAAATTGTTATACGTAATTTCACGAGCCGTTAGGCGAGTGAAATTTGAGACAATTTTGAAATATCACGAGTGGTATTTATGCCAAATGTCACGTACAAATCCTGCTATTATTTGTTTATACTACTACCCGCAAAGGTTTTGTAATTTTCACATGTAGGTATTTCAAATTAAGCTGAAATACCACTGCTCTTAGCCAATCAAATTGAAGAAATTTGTCATGTAGTAGTATTACTACCTTTACCCAAATAATATCAAACAAATTTCATCAAAGAGTTCTAATCATTATTCTTTGATGATTTTTGCAGGCATAGTATTAAAACTTGAAAAAAATCAAAGTTTAAATGCATGCCCACCCTTGCCATTCTTAACGTCAGACAATAGGAAACAGTCCTGGATAACAAATTTAAACTATTATTTTTGGTAATTGCTAAGAAGACACGCTTTGTTTTAACTATTCAGGGGGAAAGATAGCAAATAGTGAGGTAGTCCCTTTAACATTGGCAGTTTCTGAGTCCTCCCTGCAGAGCGTATAGCATTGTGTGACGTCGAGAGGTCTAGAATTATTGAACGTAACAGATTTAAAATTTTTCGTCATATTTGTCTCTTGTCTAACATGAAATTCCAGTCAATCTGGATTAGAGGATTGGATTGTGAAGATTGTGCGAGTAGAATGCTACCAGAATATGAAGTTGTTATACCCTGCTCTTCAATTAAGTTTATGATTAGCTTAAGATGGAAATTCAGTTTATTACGTACAGAAATGATGCTGGCAGGTGTTTTTGCTAGTTAGAAAATCATTCTTGTGTACACGTAAGTATATTACGTGTAACGATTCTACTTTGTCCACTTGGAGATAATGATGCAAGTGCCACATTCGTAAGTTGAAAAGTATTTATTGATAGGATGAAAGAGTTGTTAACTTATTATTATTATTATTATTATTATTGTAAATAGTGTTTTTATCGTTATTAAAAACTGGTTTCAAAGCTCAGTTTTTGGAGTTGACTATTCTATCGGATTCATTAAAATGTTGCATCTAAGTCATCTTTGAGGTTCCAATGCAAAGACCTTTAGTATGGACCTGAAAGAAAATACAATAAGCAAAGAGATTAGAGAGGACATTAACTATATGCGACCACATCTCGTGAGGAGCTACCTAAAACACCAAACTTTTTCAGTCAATGCCCTATAGTTTGAGCTTCTCATAGGTGACTGCTACCAATTTTAGGGGGAAAGTGATATAATTCTAGGGGTACATTCCTTTGGGGTGATCAAGATTAGGATCAGTGATCCGAGATCACTCGGAACATGTTGCATCAAATGAACCGATTAATCAACTCTGGACAAGGATCCATCGGTTCATTTGATCTACCATGATCCGAGTGATCAAGGATCACAGATCCTGATCCTGACCATCTCAAAGTAACGCACCCTAGGTCTGCCATAAGTGTTACATACTATAGCACCTGCATATCAGAGTATCCGAGACACATTTAGGGATATGAAATACCCTGTTTATATGTCATATCAGTCATAGGCTACTTTTTATCAGCAATTGAAAAACACTTTCATACCCTGTGGTGGTGGTTGTTCTACTCTCACCTTGTTTCATTTGCAACCATACAACTCCACTCGTAGACATATGTGGTTATACCAGTGAGTAGGAACGATTCGAACATAAAGGGCCCAGAATGGCACCTTAAGAGAGTGGTACTGCACCGAGTTTGCGTCCCAATTTCCACTTAAAAACTGAAGCAAATCCAAAGCAACGAGGGTTAGAGGTTTGGTGGCCGGTGGTTGGGTAGCTTTCTCTTACGTGTAGGTGAAGAAAAGTGGACTCAAACAGCAAGACGTTTTTGATCATGGAAAAAGTTAATTTATACTTCAGAACAGTTCTGAGAAAACAGTAAAATAGAATATATGCACTTTATTTGAGAGTCTCCGATTTCGCACTAAAGTACTAATTGAGGACACTATTTTACGTCTCCAACTGAAGACGGGGCCGCCATTTCAATTGGTCATCCAAGCGACCCGAAGGTATAGCCGCATGCAGGGCCAAGTTTCTAAGTTATTTTAAAACCCTGAGTATTGGTCCGGCCCCGGGAATCGTACCCACGACCTTCCGCTTTACAGTCAAGCGCTACTGAGCTATTCCTGCTGCGCTTAAATGTGAAAATCTGAAACAAACAAAAAACAGAACTGACACTCCTCTGATCTCATAATAAAATCCCCAGGCAAAGTGGCTGGTAGGAAAAAAATCCAGTAAAAATCCTTTGGAAAATAAACGGTGAAACTCTATTGGACATCGAGGAAAAGTACGCAACTGCACTGACCTGTACGTTTGTGACCCAACTATAAATGTTTCCATTGTTGTTGCTTTGAACTTTGTACCCTGTTACCCAGGCTGCCGGAAGAAAGAGTCCTCTCGGGCCGCCTTGTGTGGCAATGGCGGTTATCTTATGCCTTGAGCCTAAGTTAATCTGTCAAGAAATTCAAATAAAGTGAAGGGCATCTCTTGTCCTTCAAATTCATGTAAATTTCTCCTGCAGTGTACTGTGGTACAGGACGTTTAAACCGGGAGGGTTAGGCCCGTTTCAAACTTCGTGCTATTGCCGTGCCGAAATCAATTGATCGAATTGAATTCGACTTTAGCACGGCAGCGGCGCGACGTTTGAAACCAAATCTTTCTATCGCCGTGCCGAACTCAATTAATAAATTATAAATACATTAGAATGTAATTAAAAGTTTGTTAATCCGTTCCTTTATCTTCGTGTTATATTTTCGGCAACAGCCGTTCTATTCGACTGAATTAAATTCGATGTCTGAAACCAAGTCGTGCAAGTGTCGTGCCGCAGTCGAGCCAGCTTAACATGGCAGTAGCACGACGTTTGAAACAGGCCGTAGGTACTGTTTAAAAAACGAGCAGGAGTGTATTATCAGGTTTAAAAACTCGAGGCGAAGATTTGTCATATCTCAGACTCTTTTTCAGTCGCTCCTGTTTCAAATCTAAGGAAAATTTCACCACGAACCTCATTACTTTCTACAGGTCTTTATAAAGCGTTTTCAAATGACGTCACGTCCGCCATATTGATGTCCCGAAACAATGAAAGGCCTTTGCATAAGCAGTAGCATTATCGGCATATACATCCGGTGGTGAGTCTATATATAATTGAACCATAATAGAGTGGATTAAAGTGGTGTTGAAGACTTTGCCCCCTAGCCTGTCCACAGACGTTTTTCTTTAATAATTTTTTTTGAAAATACCAACCCGGCCTCTGGCGCTTGAGGTCAATAAATCCCCCGCGGCTTTTATTTCCATACGAGCGCGCAACGATATCAAAAAACAAAATATAGGGTCTGTGAACAGGCTAGTGCCTCTTTGCTTTAACAAAGCGAATTCAAATTCCCCATACATTTTACCTGCAGATATTCTCCTATTGCGTTCCTTGCGGTACACCAGGCACCATTCCCTTTCGGGCCCGCGTTCAGATGTAGCCGAGCTTGATGCGGCTCAAAGTAGAGCTGAGAAGAGCTAGCACGCAGTTGCGAGTCACTTATTTTGCCTTTTTCAAGACCTACAGCGGAGTAACATCCTTGAAAAAAGATACGTTCGCATAAATAGTTGAAATATGTTTTCATGTTTTTACAATCTAAGACATTTGATTAAAACGGAGTTGAGAGTTAAATTAGAAAACATTCTTTTTTATGAGCAACAAGGAATCAAAAACAAGATGGTAGTATCGTTGCAGTACGTCATCTTCCCGTACTGAACGACGAATTAAGTTGCATATACAAGAAGTATCTTCGCTTCTATGAAGAACTGCTTTTAGAAACTCTTGCTATTGAATTATACAATCCCAGCTAAATAAAATATATATTTAGAACTGCGTCCGTATTGTGAACAAAGCTGGTAAAAAGTCTAAGGCGTTGCGCAAATTAATTGATGATGATGATGATGATAACTGTATTGATGATGGTAGTCATAGTAATAACGGTGGTGATGATAATCATGATGATTATTATGGTGACAATGACGTGCCTTAAGAATGTTCCCGAGCTAAGCTCAAGGTAAATAAAGTACTAAAGTGACGACGTCATTAGCCTGCGTGGCAGTCATAAAAATGAAATTTCTGAAATTATGGGATTTGTCAGGATATTCTGAAAGAACAATGTCCAAGAGGCCTACTTACCAAAAATGAGCACTTCGGGGCAAATTTTCTCTGAGATGTTAGCGGGTTATACTCACAAAACTCCATACAAACCCTTCGAAAAAAAATTTAGAAGGGTTTGTATGGAGTTTTCTAAGTATAACTGGGTTACGATCTAGGAGAGAATTTGCCCCACAATGCTCATTTTTGGCAAGAAGGCCTCTTGGACATTGTTCTTTCAGAATATCCTGACAAATCCCATGATTTCAGAAATGTCATTTTTATGACGTCACACTTTAGTACTCTATAATGGGCTTTGAAGAGCCCTTTCAGAGCTTTGATAAGTTCAGTGTCTTAGACTACAATGATTCTCATTAGTTCAGTGTGACACACCACGGTCGACACGACAACCCACCTCGATTATTGCTACATTTGTACAACTGATTAAGTTGCTGTCTGTCCACCACCGATAGGCCCTTTCGCTGACCCATCACCACGTGGGGCCCGGCACGTGACTCTATTGTATTTCTTCCGTTTACGCTCCAGCTATTACGGGGCAGATGCATGAGTGATGTGTAGTCATATGGTGCCCCTAAACGGTCCACTTGGCCATGACTGTACTTTCTAAAGTTTCCCTCAAATCCTTACAGAACGTACAATTTCAAAAGTCAATTAGTCCAACAGATGTTCTTAGCTCCCCCAAAAACATTCCATAGGAGGTTAAAAGCATTCACCAATCACTTTGGAATAAGATTTAATGCATCTAACTTGGATTGATTTTCGTCGATTTAATTTTCGTTGAATTGAAATAAACTCAACATACAGTCTCTGCAAAATATTAGACAGCAAATCACACAGGCTTCTCCAGACTTTCCTAAACATTTCTATTAAAAAAATACGAATTTTTATACGCTACCAGTTAACCGTGAAACCGTAAAGTTTTCTGGTGAAAAAAAGTGAAATGAAGCTTTCCGGCCAGGATGTCCATGGGAATGTTTCATCCTCGAATCTATGGGTCTCTAATCTATACTCGAAGCCCAATTTGAAGGTCTCTATCTTCCTGATGCCGTGGCAGACACTCACTACTATATTATAGTGAATTTACGGGCGAGGCTCTTTATTGACTGATACATTGTTCCTTACCAGGTCTGATATTCTTTGAATATATAATGACATAGGCGTCCCTGTCCGGTCGTGAGCTTGTGTGAAAAAAGCCCAGAGTGTGCATTAACTCGTGTAGGATAATGGCCTCGTGTTCACATCCATATCCTATGGAAACAACTTGACCATTGGAGTCCAAGGTCCGGCCAACACAGGAATAGCATCTAGAACATATAATGATTTCTAAAGATCAAAAGGAAGGGGTTTAAGGGGTTTGTATACTTATTTTTACCCTCTCCACTAATTTGAGTCAAAAACTGGGATGCTGAAGTAGACTCTGACCTTGTTTTTTCGTCATTGTGTTCTTTTTTAAGTCCATTAATTTTAGTGTCCTTCTACCCATGCATGTTTCCAGTTACGTTTTGGATCAGCCGAGCTAAATTTTAAGAGACAAAAACGTCCAAACTGCCGGATCTGCCCTTTAAATGACTTACTCTTGCCCCGGCTGCGTGCATACACGTAGAAAATGCAGAAAAAAGGCTGCCTTGGGTACAGGGGCTTCTGGGAATTTTTGGCTGTAGTAGCAGGGCAGGGGGTCATTTGGAATTTTCAGTTTGCAGGGCATGGGATCGCGGAGAAGCTTCAGAAACGCAAAGGCACGTGGGAAGACTCAACTTGAAAAGCGATTTTCACGTTGAACATTCCAAAGTGCCTTATCTTTTTAAAGCGCTTTCGTGATCCTCAGTCTTGCTGTACATCTAAACGCTCGGCCTCCCTCTTAAGGTTCACAGGGGTGTGTAAGCAAAGAAGTGAATAGGCTATATTTCGAGTTCCAAAGATTCTCACTTTCCAAACAAGCAAGGCCAATGCAAAACCTTTCTTGTAAAAATGAGCATGAGAATAAGAAATAATTGCCATATCGATTGCCTTGCACTTAGCCTCGCTTTGAAAAAGAGGCTTGGACAACTCGGAAACGGCCTTTCAGAGAAGGCGCCCAAAAAGGACTAAACACGACCCCCGATGCATGATCAGTTTTCCTCTCTGTCATTGGTCACGTCTGCCACTGGGTATACCCGCGGGTACACCTGATTTAGAGAGAACGTTTTTGTGTGTGTGCACTTTAATTTATTCCCGATTTGTCCAGTCTAGTTTTTCGGTTTTTCAGTTTAAGATCAATTTCCGCGATAAAAATTCACATTAAGCCAGAAAATAGTCTAAGGCGATCAATAATTCCATGTTGTACCAAACAGGATATGTCAAAGCCTGTTTGAATCTCAGTGGATTAAGCTGGTTTTCAGGTTAGAACACATAGCGTAACCATAAGGTCACTACATCTGCGTCGAATCCATTGGCAAACTGGAGACCATAACCTATGAAAAATATAGTTAATTACGTCAGTTCTTACCCTTGTCCTCGTATAAACCTAACGAAGTATTTTTCACTTGCCCGAGGAATGAAACGAACGCACGAAAGAGTTTTCAAGGCCTGCATTGCCTTGGTTATCACTGTTCTTGCAAGCATCGCTGCGAACGAAATAAAATATTTTAGGAAGGTGGCAAGGTTACTAATGACTCATGCTGAATACAGAACATATATGGCAGTCTATCTCAGAAAGGATTCCTCACCGACAAATTAAGGAAGTTGTCATTAAATTTTCCGCCATTATTAACTAATTGTAAAACTACAAGCTTCTCCGATGTTTTGTTTTGATCACACCCATCGCAAACGCGTCGAGTCAAGCTCGCCAAATTCTTTAATTTTTTATTGGACAAACTCTAAAAAAACAAGTGAATAAATGTTTCTTTTTACCAACGTTATTCAAGGAAAAAATTCTTCAAGGATCCTGATACTACACATTATTCTAACTAGGGTTAGGGACTTGTCAGAAATAAGCAGGGGGGAGGGGGGGGGGTGGGGAATTTTAAATTTGGTTTGGAAGTGGGGGGGCCAATCCCTGCAATTCGAATGGAATTTTCTAACATTCCCCCTGCCCCTGGCCACAAATATACTGACCCCCCCCCCCTTCTCTAAAATTCAGATAAATGTGCTTTACCGAAGGGTTTTATTTACTATCCACACAGACTACAATCACGCCACGGAAAAAAATTTTAGCAAGAGAGGAGGAGGGGGGTGATTCGGGTGGGTAGTTTTTGGGGAATATTGGTTCCGGTGGGTGGGGTGTAGGGATTGGTGGGGGAGGGGGGGGGGGGGGGGGGGGGGGGTGGGAATTTTAAATTTGGGTTCGGAAATGAGGTGACCAATCCCTGCAATGCGAGTGAAATTTGCTAACCTTCCCCTTGACCTTGGCCTAAAATATCATGACCCTCCCCCTCTTGTATAAATGATAAAATTTAGTTCTTACAATACACTAGGGTGAGTCAGTATTATGAAAGCTCAAAATATATTTCTAATCCGTTCTTTGTAATGCCATATACATACATTTTAGATGACAGCATTAAGAGTCCGACTCTGATTCTGACAGCTGATCACTCGACTCTCCTAAGTTCTCCCAGGTTTTTTTTTACAGAATAAAGGACTTCTTTTTTCTTCTGTGGGTGAGCCTCTACATGATCACGGACACATATCTGCATGACCCTCCCCCTTTTAACGGCCCATTTTTCATGACCCCTCCCTTTTCTGCAGTCTCAAAAAGTTGTGACCCTCCTTCTGTTTCCACCCCCCTCCCCCACTACTTATTTCTGACAAGTCCCTTAGTTTAAGAACAACTTAGCCTGCGTGGCCGGCGGGATTCTTAGCGCGAGTGGCAGAGGAGCAGCAAAGCAGTGCGGAGTTTTCTCACGGCAAAGCTTCCAAAACTCTCACACGCACAAAAACAATCCTGCCAGCTACAAGGGCTAAGAAAAACTGAGTCAACGTACTTAACCCAGAGTCAAAAACGTAAGGAACAATGCCTCCTGGCCAAAGATGTATTTGCTTATTGACTGATACTCTTGAACTGGCGATACTCTCCAGCATGATGTCTCCTTCTAACAGATCTGAAAGGTTACAATCAGAGTAATTCAAAGAGGAAAGATGGCAAATTTTTGTTGCTCGAAATATCTAAAAGTCGTAACTGTTCATCAGTGGGATGCCTAAAAAGTGTGCAATTCCACAAGTTGGTTTTGGCTACATTAAATCCTAATGCCGGCTTATCACATTTGTCCTCACTTATTAAACAGAAGTACAGTAGATGTCAGGAGTGTTTTAATAGGGGCTCGTCAGTAGCATATTATAATCTTCAGCGCTGTTACGTTGATCAGTTTAGGTTTCTGGGGAGACTGCCAACGTACCCATCCCCTAAGTCAACATTTTGCCCTTAGTGAGAAGTTAGTGTTAATGTTGGCTTCAGGGAGGGATAGGTGGGCAGTTTCCCAGAATCCTAAATTGATCCGCGGTTATTCTACTTGCAAGCAAATATTAAAGGACATGCTAATTGCTAAGTAAGGAAAATAGGCCTTGCGCATGCGCGAAGGGCCTCGTGTGTCCATCTCCTCTTGAGATGGCTTTCCTTCTGTCAGCGCTTGCAATACTAGGCGCATGCGTGGCCAAAAATGGCTTAACCCTTTAAGCCCCAATATCCACACACAAATTCTCCAAACTGATCTCTCTATGTTTCCGTCCTCAAAGAACTTGTTGAGAGAATTTGATAAAAAATCAAAGCATTTTCTCTTAGGTGATGATTTTATTAATTCTCATAACCTAATCTCTTGACAATCAATGGTTATCGTTAGGAGAAAATTGATGCTGATCACCATTGAGACTTAAAGGGTTAATTCTTAGGAACTTAAGACGAGGTTGCGAGGGACTACAATATCTGTCCCCTCAATGACTTTAAAGAGCTTTCGTCGTTTCTCGGAGGGAGCGTCCCGTCTCCAGTTTTCCTTCGTGATTGAGGAATTTGATCAAAGGTATCAGCTATGGTCAACGAAAACTAAGTCAATGATATCAGCAAGAGGGGAATTTTGGCTTATAATGAAGACGTTTCGAACTTGAAGTCTAGTTGAAGTCGCTCAAAATATTTTAAATGTATTTCCACTGCTAAAATCCGAGACAATCGAGCCTCGTATTAACG